AGATGAGGAAGCCCTTGATACAGAAGACAAGGAAGAGGAAGCGGAAGGAGCTCCAGCTGAAGACCCTGCAGTGGAGGAGAAGATGATGGAGGAGCAAGCTCCAGCAGAGGAAGAAAAGGAAGAAGAAGCTCCTGGAGCAGCAGAAGAGGAAGCTCTTGCCTCTCAGGAGAAAGGAGAAGGTGCTGAAGATAAGGAAGAAGTGGATGGTCCAACAAATGAAGACACAGCTCCTCCCGCTGAAGAACAGCAAGTCCCTGAAGAGGAGGAGAAGACAGAGGAGCAATCTCCTGCAGTGGAGGAGAAAGAGGAGGGAGCTGATGGTGAAGAAGGGATCATGAAAGATTCTCTGGTGGTGGAGAGGCCGACCCTCCGAAAACAGTTCAGGAAGGCCATCATGAAGAGGCTCCGGAGAGTTTGGGTAATGTATCAATTTACTGACCATTACCCATTATCTAGAGATGCCTCATGTTGTCCAATGCAGCTCCACTTTACTTCCTGCTGTTCTGAGCATTTTCAATGCTGTCTGTTGAGCCCGCAGGCTGATTACTTTGAGGGCACCCAATAGACCAATGTTTGGCTGCCTTTAGGTTGTAAGAGGTTGCTGACAGAGATAAGTCTGCAGATAAAGTGTCGATTCTATAGTAGGCCAATAACAGGGGAGGTAGGTAACGCTTATAGGGCTGCTGGACATCTGGCTTAGATATCCACCTTTGGAAATGGGTTGCTACTGGATAATGGACTGGCGCCAGGTGATCAAAGCGGATAAAAGATTAAATGGCGCAGGCTCAGACTGAGATTCATAATAAGCCAAGGCCTTCCATGTGTAGAGAGACCCAAACAGTCCCCACAGGCCCAACAAATAGTGCGTTCTTAAAGCAAGACCTATAGCGTTTAATATCATAAGGAAACAAGTATGTCTTTATTCTAATGTCAACACTCTATCTTTTCAGCATTCCACCCAAAGACTCGCCGCCTGCTGCTGCTGCTGCTGCCGCCGACCCAACACCATGGCCTAAATCCAAAGAAATCCTAAATGATCCAGGGTGTAAAACCGACTGCCGTTTCTAGGAGTCAGGAAGGAATTTTTACCTATAGTGCAGATTGGTTCCCATAGTACTCTAGGGTTTTTCGCCTTCCTCTGGATCATTGGTCGTTAGGGATGCCCAAATATAAATTAGCTGTTAATTTTAATAAATCCTGTGCTCTCCGACAGGTTTCCCCATATAAAAGTCTCTGTGTTTTTCTTTAATCCCTATGGTGAATATTGAGGGAAGGGGCTCCTGTGCCTCATTCTTCTAAAGATGACTGACCGGTTGTGTGACGGGGCAATTAATACTGCTGGGAGCTGCTCAAAATGGCAGCGTAAGGGTAAAACTGGGTTGTGGTGCGGATACAGTGGTTTATTTGAAGAAGGGAATGGGTTAATATCTCTGCAGGGTTATTTGCTTAATATGTAGATTGATGGGGATGAAAGACATAGGGACACATGTTGATCTCAAATGATTGAAAGGAACTACAAAATTGCTTTACTCCATAGGCCACAATGTAAGCATTTCCATTCAAGTCCATTGCCCTCTTAATATTGGAATTCCATCCACTTCCCACCAGCCTATTTATACTATACCAGACATTTAGTATATGAAGGTGCTTGATATTGGGGAATGCCTGTGCTGGATTTGTTTTTTGGTTACCACTCTCTCCAGGTTATGAGACATCCTTTTGGGGTGGGGGATTCCTGCTAAAGCGAT